CGTCCCAGCTCAGCAGCAGGCACTGAAATGCTCAGCTTCAGGCTCAGCTACAGCTCTCGCTGCTCTGCAGAAGGGGCTGCTTCTCAAAGCGCTTCTCCTCCCAGAAATACCTAAAAGAAAGATCTCCCCTGCTAAACAGCTAAAAAGCGAACCCTGCATCCTCTGGGTTTCAGTGGGAGCCTCCCAGGGGGGTGCTGGGGTGGGGGCGATGCCCCAAGCTAGCCCCTGGGGAGGGGGAGCTCAGCACGTCGCTGAACGTTTCACTTCAGCTCTTCTTTTTCCCCACTTTCTCTTAATTTTTCCTGCCCCAGTCCCATTCCCACGGCACATCCCCTCACACTCTCGGTGAGCCCATGGGGCCAGGACTGGGGCTGGATGTCCCCTCTGTGTCCCTACCCTGACGAGTGATGCTGCTGGGGAGAGGGATGCAGAGAGCATTCTGCAACCAGCACCCCGCAGCCCACAGCCTCCCGCAGCCGCCAGCATCCCCCAGCCAGCAGCATCCCACAGCAAGTATCCCCCAGTGAGCATCCCACAGCAAGTATCCCCCAGTGAGCATCCCACAGCAAGTATCCCCCAGTGAGCATCCCACAGCAAGTATCCCCCAGTGAGCATCCCACAGCAAGTATCCCCCAGTGAGCATCCCACAGCAAGTATCCCCCAGTGAGCATCCCACAGCAAGTATCCCACAGCCAGCAGCATCCCACAGCAAGTATCCCACAGTGAGCATCCCACAGCAAGTATCTCACAGTGAGCATCCCACAGCATCCTGGAGCCCACAGCCTCCCGCAGCCAGCAGCACCCTGCAGCCCACAGCATCCCGCAGCGAGCATCCCGCAGTCCACAGCATCCCACAGCCCACAGCATCCCGCACCCCACAGCACCCCACAGCCTCCCACAGCCAGCAGCAGCCCACAGCAAGTATCCCACAGTAAGTACCCCGCAGCCAGCATCCCACAGCCAGCAGCATCCCACAGCAAGTATCCCACAGCAAGTATCCCGCAGCCAGCACTCTGCAGCCCACAGCATGCTGCAGTCGGCAGCATCCCGCAGCCAGCACCCTGCAGCCCACAGCATGCTGCAGTCGGCAGCATCCCGCAGCCAGCAGCACCCCACAGCTGGCAGCATCCCGCAGCCAGCAGCATTCCACAGCATCCCACAGTCAGCAGCATCCCACAGTCAGCAGCATCCCACAG